TGCCCCTGCCGTGCCCTGCCGTGCCCTGCCGTGCCGCGGTACCGCAGCGCTCCCAGGGTCCCGGCGCTGTCCGTGTTGCTCAGCTGCCGACGCTTCTTCTTCCAGGAGGCCACGAGCTGGTCGGACTGGGAGACACTGTTGAACCGCAGCTTGTAGCTCCTGGGGGGGGTCAGGGGGTGAGAGGAGGCTGGGGGGGGGTCCTGCCCCAGCCCCTGGTCCCAGCAGGGACCCCCAAGACCCCCGGTGCTCACATGGGCGGCTCAGCCTGGGAGGTGCCGGTGTACGGCGATGTCATCTCCATCAGTGCCTTGGAGAAGCTCTGGGGGGGATGGAATGTCAACCCCAAATCCAGACCCCTTCCCAATGCCTTTCCTATCCCCATCCCATCCCTATCCCAATCCCATCCCAACCTCGGCACATTCCGGAGGGTCCCCGTTCCCAAACGTGCTGGTGACCACCAGGACCAGGGTCTCGTGCTCCAGGGCCACCACGTCATACTCGTCCATGCACAGCACCTTCGTGGAATGCCAGGATTGGGATCCCTCCACGAGGGGATCCTCTCACTCGGTGTCTCCGCTCACCCTCGCCTTTGGCCAGGGGGAGGGGGTTTGGGTGAGGGGAGACGCCCCAATTCCCCGCCTTTTCCTTGCAAACCTTGGGATCAAACGCTCGTCGGAAGAGCTGGCACAGATTCCAAGCGTAAGTCCGGGATTTCCCGGTCTCGGTGGCGTAGAGGATGGTGGCCTTCACCCTCCGCGCCATCACCTGCCCCATCAGCTTGGCCGAGATCTTGACGGCACTGTGGGATCCCCAGGATCACAATGAGATCACCGTGGGATCCCAGAATTCCCGTGGGATCCCTGGGATCACGGGATTCACCTACTTGGCCACTTCCTTGAAGGTCTTTCTCCGTGTGACGGTGGTGCCTTTGGACACATAAACCTTCCAGGCATCGGGCTGTGGGGGGAGGGGTTGGTTGTGGGGCAGAGGGGCCATGGGGGGGTTGGTTGGGGGGCAAAGGGGCCATGGGGGGGGTGGTTGGGGGGCAGAGGGGTCGGGGGGCTGTGGGGCTGGACCCAGCTGGTAGCGAAAAGTGGGCTGGGGGTCACAGGGGGAACTGGGGGTCATGGGGTTGTGTGGAGGGCTGGGGAGGCAGAGGGAGCTTAGGGGGTCATGGGGGGGCTGGAGGAGTCCTGAGGGGCCTGAGGGAGACCCTCAGCTGGTGCCGTGGGGGTCCCACAGGGTGCTCAAGAGGTGCTGTGGCGTGTCCTGGGGGCTGTGGGGAGGGGTCCCACCTGGTAGCGGAAGGTGGGCGGGGGGCTGTGGGGAGGGGTCCCACCTGGTAGCGGAAGGTGGGCCGCAGCTGGTAGTTGACCATCTCCTGGTGGAAGACGGGGGTGAGGCTGCCCGAGAGGGGGGGCACGATCCAGGCCCAGTCCGCGGGACACCCCCCCCGTGCCCGCCCCTCCGCTGCCAGGTGCTTCACGAACGACTCGGTGGCCGCGTGGTGGTCCACAATGGTCACCTGGGCCACCTGTGGGGACAGGGGGGCAATGGGCACCTGGGCCACCTGCAGGGACAGGGGCTGGGGGCTCTGGGAGGGGTCCCAGCAGAGGTCCCACCTGGAAGCTGTGCAGCACGGCCACGTTCACCTCCACGGCCGCCCGGTCCTTCCAGAGGGAAGAGCTGGTCCCCGTGTCCAGCCCCATGCGCTGGGCCACCTCCTGTGGGGGGTAATCGAGGGAGGGGTCACTGGGGGGGTCGGGCAGGGGGCTCAGCCGGGGGGTGTCAGCCAGTGGAGTCCTTGTGGGGTCCCAGAGGGGTCCCACGGGAGCTTGGCCCAAGGGTCCAAATGGGGTTCCAGTGAAGGTCCAGAGGAGATCCTGGAGGGTCCTGGTGGGTCCTGGGGTATCCCAGTGGGGGGTCCCAAAGGTTCCCAATAGGTTCCCAGTGGAGTCCTTGGGGTGTCCCAGGGAGTCCCGAGAAGGGTCCCAGTTGGGTGCTGGGGAGTGCCAGGGGTGGTCCCAGTGAGGTCCCGGGCTGTGCCAGGGGGTCCCAGTCATGTCCGGGGGGGGTCCCAGGGTGGTCCTGGGGGGTCCCAATGCGGTCCTGGGGGGTGCTGGGGAGGTTCTGGGGGTGTGGGGGTCTCACGGGCAGCACGTTGTAGCGGTGGCGGTCGCAGAGGTTGCGGGAGCCGATCTCGGTGCCCATGTACCAGCCGTTGAACGGGGCCGCGGGGAACTCGAGCCCCCCGATCTCCAGCAGCAGGTTGGCCACGGCTGGCAGCGCGTGCCAGCGCAGCCCCAGCTCCGAGAACCACTCCAGCCTGGGGGGGCACGGGGGGGCTGCAGCCGGACCCTCACGGACCCACGTCTGCCCCACACTGGCCCCACCCTGGATCCCCAATCTCCATCCCACCTGCACCCCAGTATCCCAGTACCCAGCCAGGGAGGGAGTCAGCAGACCAGCATCCCAGTCAGGGAGAGGATCAGCATCCCAATATCCCACCGTCCAGCCCGGGAGGAGGTCAGCAACCCAGACTCCTGGTGTCCCGTGCAAGGAGGAGACCAGCAGACCAGTATACCAGAGACAGAAGGGACCAGAATCGCAGCATCCCAGCCCGGGAAGGGGGCAGTTTCCCAGTATCCCAGCCAGGGAGGGGGGTCAGCAGACCAGTATCCCACTCAGGGATGGAATCAGCCCCACGACAGCCCCACGTCCCCAGCGGGGGTCCCAACCTCCATGCCCCCTCCATCCCCTCTCATCCCCTCCATCCCCTCCATTCCCTCTCCAGGAACGACCCAGTTGGATCTCAGCCCAGAGGGGTGTCCCAGGGGGTCTCCTGGCCAGGGGGGGCCCGGGGGGTCGCAGCCCCACTCACGTGGGGTGCTGGAGCGGCACCTCGAGGACCAGCTCCGGGGGGAGCGGGAAGAGCTCGGGGGACTCGTCGGGGCCCTGCAGCAGCAGCGGCAGCACGTCGAAGCGGCCCCCCCCGGGGGTCCAGCCGTGCTGGATGCAGAGCTGGGGGGGGACACGGTGTCAGGGGGGGTCACCAGGCAGGGGAGTCTAGGGACACAGGAACTGGGGAGGAGATGGAGCGGGAGATGAGGAAGGATGGAGGGGTCATGAGGAGATGGGGGTGGAGGAGGGATGGAGTGAGGATGAAGGGATGGAGAGGGTTTGGAGGAGATGTGGAGGGGGGGGGCCAGAGAGGCGAAGGAGGAGGAGATGAAGGGAGGGATGGAGAGGGGACAGAGGGGGGATGAGGGTGGTCTGGGGGCCCAGGGGTGCCCCACCTCGGTGATGTCCACATTGGCGGGGTCGCCCCTCACGGAGCCGTCGGGCTGCCGGTACCCAGCATAGCGGATCAGCTGCGGGTTCCAGATGCGGAAATCACCCCGTCCCGGTGCCCGCGGCGGGAAGATGGTGATGGCAGACCTGGGGGGATCGGGGGGCCGTCACAGACCCCCTCTGGCAACGGGGGCCGGGGGGCTGGGAGGGCACTCACCGGATGTTGCCGCGGTTGGTGGCGAACTGGATGTGGGAGCAGAGGAGGCTGAACATCTCCCCCACCCCTGCGCAGTCCCGGGCGTCGAACACCTGCGGGGGGACGGGGTGGGGTGTGGTCGGTGCCCCCACGGGTTGTGGTGGGCGTGGTCCCAGGGGTGGGGTCGCACCTGGAGCTTGTTCCACTGGATGCGGCCGACGCAGCGAGCCGCGTTCCGCCACGCCTGCTTGGCCCCGAAGGCCAGCTCGGGCTCCCGCAGCCGGTACGAGCCCGAGGCCTCGATCTCCGCAGCCACCTCCCGCAGCCGCTGCGTGTGTGCCGGGGAGTTCTCCCTGCGGGGGGGACCCTCAGCACCCTCAGAGACACAGGGACACCCCCAGACACTGCCACCTCCCACAGCTTCTGCATCTGCACCCCCCCTGTGGGGGGACCCTCAGCACCCCCAGAGACAGGGACTCCCCCTTGCTCACCGCCGCAGGGACACGTAGTACTGGGTGATGAAGTCCCGGGCCAGCTCCAGCAGCTCCTCGGGGGGTCGCATCCCCTCGGGGGTCGGGTTGGGCAGCGGCCGCGGCAGCACCAGGGACCCCAGGCAGCGCTGCCCCGAGCAGGGCAGCTCCTGGGGGGGGGACCGTGTCACTCGGGGGCCTGCCTGGACCCCCGGGACGGAACCCCCGCCCCAGCATCCACGTCCACACCCCCCTCGCCCGTGTCTGTCATCCCGGCACTCCCCAAACCGCACCCCCGGGACAAATCTCCGTCCTGGAATCCCCATCACAACCCCCCGCGAGCCCTGCACCA